GAGATCTCTCTCTCTCCGTCTCTCTCTCTCTCTCTCGCTCTCTCTCTCCTCTCTCTCTCTCTCTCTCTCTCTCTTCTCTCTCTCTCTCCTCTCTCGCTCTCGCTCTCCCCCTCTCTCTCTCTCTCTTCATTATCTTATCCCTCTCTCTCTCTCTCTCTCTCTCTCTCTCTCTCTCTCTCTCTCTCTCTCTCTCTCTCTCTCTCTCTCTCGCTCTGCGCTCTTCGCTCTCAGCTCTCTCTCTCTTCTCTCTTCTCTCTCTCTCTCTCTCTCTCTCTCTCTCTCTCTCTCTCACAACACCACACACACAGTCACACCACAACACACACACACACACAACACACACACACCACACACACACACACACACACACACACACACACACACACACACACACATCAATTGTTGTTATCGTGCCGGCACGGCGGGTGTTGACTATACGGTGCGTACACGCGTAATTACACGCGGTGGTGAATTGTAGAGGTCGTTTATATGGATTAGCGATCAGCAGAGAGTAAACGCTTCAGTCGCATCTCGAAGTACGGTCATCACACAGTTTACCACGACACGTTCGTTCGGCGGTCATCCGATTATATATCTCTGACGCGTGGCAGGTCTTGAGCGACAGAGGGCAGTGACCAGCGATTTGCCTAGAGAGGAATCGCAGACGGGGGGGTGGTTCATTATTGAGGCTAAATGAGACCGCCTTGCCAGAGCTCAGTGAAAAGCTCGCAATGACGACGTTTGGGTCGAGAAGAGCGTTTTTCTCCGTGGCGCGACGTGAAGGGAGGGAATTTGAAATTGCGTTAACTGCTTGTATTGGCGTTGGTTTGTCCGTCGTCGTGCGTTATCGATGCTGCATTCGTCCTTGAGTGGCGCGTCGTTCTGCCGGCATGACGAACGCAATGCTCAGTGCGATTTGTTTACCCTCGCGGGTCTAGCTATTGTAGGCGCAGTCAGTCAACTGGCCGCTACACACACGCACGCACTTATTTAATGTTCTTTTGTTTAAATGTGTGTCTTTATTGTCATATATAGTCATTCGCGCGCGCCTCGCGTTGCGTGCGTGTGCTCGCGTCTGTGTGCTGTGTGTGTGTGTTGCTGTGTGTGTGTTATGTGTGGACTGTGCGTGCGTCTGTGTGCCGCGTGTGCGTCGTGCGTTGCTGCCGTCGTGCGGTGATGCGTGTGGCGTGTTGCG